GTGTAGACCATTTTGTTTATCGTTTACTTCCGTATTGATTAGTTTAGTTACTATGAAGTGATTATCCCATATCCAACTTTATTCCATACACTATCAAAACGTAATATCTCCAAACATGATTTTCGATCAACCTCTTAAATAAATTTGCCTTTTATATGCATGAACTCAAAACTCCATTTTCTTAATTGAAGCATCTTACGACATTCGAATAAAACGAGATTTGAGATTACTACCCCCAATCATTAATCTATGATTTTAATAAGAAAGTTACAAGCTTAAACAAGAGATATATATCGTACCTTCACTTGGTTGTGCACTAGCTTCTCAAATCCCCACCTCTTTTGAAGCTCTCTATTGTCGTCTGCCTTACTTCCTTGAAAACGTCCTCTCTTCAATAGATGGGGAAGAACTAGTATTTATACTCCCCCTTCCTCTACGTCATTGATTGGTATAAAAATGAAGGTAATATACATACCTTCCATATATCCATCCATTTTCTTTCTCACTCTCCATACCATCCTTAAATTTTCCAATCACTATATGATTTTCAAATCAATCTAAAATAAACAATAATTCCCATATTTATTCAATAAATATCAATTCAAAAAATTAAAATGAGGTTTCTTTATGTGATTATTTGGACCATTAACTCTCTAATATAACGGTTATTATAAACGCCCTTATTTTAGAGTGTAACAACTCTCCCCTCTTAAAATAAGATTTCGTCCCCGAAATCACTCATCGTTGAACAAATGTGGGTACTTGGCTCTCATCTCCACCTCTGGTTCCCACCTTATCTCTGACCCCTTGTGGAATTTCCACTTTATAAGGACCAATGGAATGGTGTTGTTTTGTAACCTCTTTGTTTTCTATCCAAGACTTAAATTGGTTCTTTGACGTAACCCAACTTTTAATTGACCTTCACATCATTCAGTGCCAGAGTTGTTGATTCGTCAATTAAACATTTCCTTAAATTTGACACGTGGAATATGTCATGAATCCCTTGTAATTTTTCTGGTAGCTTCAAACGAATGCCACCACCCCTGCCCTTCCTATGATCTCGAATGGTCCACCATATCTTGGACTTAGCTTTCCATGTTAACCAAAACGAACTACTCCCTTCCAAGGTGATATTTTTAGCATCACTAGATCCCCAACTTGAAACTCTAGAGGTCTACGCCTTTTATCCACATAGCTTTTCTGTCTGTCTTGCATGATCCTCAACCGTTCCCGGATCTGCACTATCTTATACAACGTCTGTTGAACTAACTCTGGCCCAGCTAACTGTCTTTCTTCGATGTCTGCCCAACATATAGGTGTTCTACACTTTCGACCATATAAGGCTTCGAAAGATGCTGCCTTAATGCTCGAATAATAACTATTGTTCTATGCGAACTTTATCAATGGTAAGTGATTGTCCCAACTACCCCCAAAATAGATAGTGCATGCCTTAGAATATCTTCAAGTGTTTGTATCATCCTTTCACTTTGACTATTGATTTGGGGGTGGTAGGCGGTGCTTAAATTCAATCGAGTCCCCATATCTTGTTGGAAGCTTGACCAAAATCTGATGTGAATCTTGCATCCCTATCTGAGACATTTGATATCGGAATACCATGCCTTGGCACAATATCATTGACATATAGTTGAGCCAACTTCTTTAGTATATATTCTTCACAGATCGGTAAGAAATAAGCAGACTTTGTCAATCGATCAAAAATCACCTTGATTGCATCATTTCCTCTTATCATTTTTGGTAGCTTGGTAACAAAGTCCATTGTTATCATATCCCACTTCCACACTGATATTTCTGTTTGTTGTAACATTCCTAATGATTTCTGATGTTTTGTCTTCACTTGTAGGAAAGTCAAATACTTCTCCACATACCCAGCTACTGATTTCTTCACACCCGGCCACGAGTAGCTTTCCTTTCTTGTACATTTTATCGCTACCCGGGTGCATGGTGTACTTAGACTTATGTACCTCCTCCATTACCTTGCCTCTCAAATTACCCAAGTTAAGAATCCACACTAGATCCCCAAATCTGTATATCCTATCTGATCTGATTGTCAGTGACTTAATTTTCCCAACCATAATATTTGCTTTAATCAAGGCTTCCTTCTAAGCATCCTGGATGTGATCTACCATATCCACCTTTATGTTCATCCACATGGCCCATACTTGAATAGGCTCAACCCTTTCCTTCCTACTTAAAGCATCGGCTACTACGTTCGCTTTGTCAGGATGGTAATGGATTTCATAATCGTAATCCTTGAGGAGTTCCATACATCTCTTTTGCCTTATATTTAGTTCCTTTGGATCAAAAAGATACTTCAGGATTTTATTATATGAATATATCATACATTTTGTACCATACAAGTAGTGTCACCAAATCTTTAGTGCGAATACTACTGCAACTAACTCCATATCATGGGTTGGGTACTTCTTCTCATGCTTATTTAATTGTTGTTATGCATAGGCGATAACCTTGCCCTATTGAATCAATACACAACTAAGACCCATCTTAGAGGCGTTGCTATGAACAACAAAGTCTTCAGTTCTTTCCTATAAGACCAGGACTGGCGTACTTAATTTGGTCCTGAGGGTACGAAAAGCTTCTTCTTGTTTTTTCTCCCAATCAAACTTGATTGACTTTTTTTTTGTCAAATTTGTCATAGGCGTTGCTATTTTGGAGAAATCCTAGATAAACCTCCGATAATAACCTGCTAGACCCAGAAAACTTCGGATTTCTGATGCAGATTTTTGGTGACTCCCAATCCATGACCGCCTCTATCTTTGTCGAATCCGCCTTAATTCCTTCTGAGTTGACTACATGACCTAGGAACAACACTTCTTGTAACCAAAATTCATATTTTGAGTATTTGGCATACAACTTCTCTCTCATCAGAAATTCTAGAATAGTTCTTAAATGTTTCCCATGCTCTTCTTCGCTTTTCGAATAAAAAAGGATGTCGTCGATAAGACAATGACAAACTTGTCTAGGTACGACCCACATACCCTATTCATCAGGTCCATGAATGCTGTTGGAGCATTTTTCAGTCCAATTGGCATTACTATAAACTCATAATGACCATAGCGATTTCTAAAAGCAGTATTTGACACATCTTCTTCTCATACCTTCAATTTGTGGTAACCTGATCTTAAGTCAATATTCGAGAAGTGGCTAGCTCCTTGTAGCTGATCAAATAAGTCATCGATTAATGGTAACGGGTATCCATTCTTGATCGTGAGCTTAAGCTCATGATAATCAATGCACATTCACATTGAGCCATCTTTATTATTTACAAATAGGATTGGCGCTCCCCATGGCAATGAACTTGGTTAGATAAACCCTTTGTCTAACAAATCCAGAAGTTGTTTCATCAACTCTTGCATCTCTGTTGGGGCCAACCGATAAGGTGCTCGTGCAACAAGAGCCACACCTGGCACCAAGTCAATACGAAACTCAACTTGACGTTCCGGTGGTAGTCCTGGTAGTTCATCCAGGAAAACTACTGGATACTCATTCACCACTGGTACCCCTTGTATCGTTCTCTTTTCTAACTTAGCATCGACCACATACTCTAGATAAGAAGTGCACCCTTTTCGAAGGCACCTTCTTGCTTTTAATATGGTGATGATCCCCGTACCACACTTTCTTCGATTACCATTAACATGAATCGTCTGCCCTTTTGGGGTTTTGATTTTGATCATCTTTTGGTGGCACCCAATTTGCGCCTAGTTTTCGGATGGCCAATCCATCCCTAGAACCGCATCAAAATCTCCTAAACACATAGGCAAATCAGCCTAATAGGCAATTCTACCATCTATACAGATCGTGCATCCATGAACTATTTCATCTATTCTTAACTTGACTACCGTTAGTGGTTTCTATAGTGTAGCTCTTCCCTAGTCTATAGACATCCTTATTCAAATTGTGGCAGAAACTAGAATATACGAAACTACCATTTGCATCTGAATCAAACAGCACATGAGCATAAACATTGTTTAGAAGAAACATACCCGATACGACGTTAGGAGACTCCTTAGCCACCTCCAAACTCATGTTGTATGCTCGTCTTGGTCCCTTAGGTAGTTCTTTCTTCTTTTCCGACCCATTACCCGAAGCTCTAACATTTCTTATTGTTCCCTTTTGAGTTTTAGGGAATTCAAACCATAGATGACCTGATGCCCCACGATTAAAGCAAAGTTTTCTTTCAGTACACTCCCTTGATGTGTGATGGGGTTTAAAGCACCGATAACATATCACTTTTGCTGCCCAACGTTCACCCTTGTGTATTTGATTGCATTTGGTGCACTGAGGAATTGTGATATCTCCTTTTAGTGGTTTTGCATCTATCATCTCCCCCTTGGATTTCTTTGTCAGCTTACTTGACGCTTCCCTTTTTTTAGCCCCCTTCTCTCCCTAGTTTCCTTGATGTTATTTTCCTCCGCAGCAGTCGTCATTTCCACAACTTGAACAAACGTGGTTGGTTTAACCATATATACGTACTGCTCTATCTCCATCCTTAAATCGGCCTATCTTGCTTTTCTTAGTTGCCACCTGATAACTAGCAAACCTGGCCTTTTCTAGAAATATGTTCACGTATTATTGAACATATAAAGATCCTTGCTCCAACCTCAAGAACTCCAACTCCAACTTCTTCACCTCTGACTGCGTACAATATTTATCCATCAACGTTTTCTTCATTTGCTCCTAAGTCAGGGTAACAATGTTTTCGTCTCCTCGAATGGTGCATTCAGCCTCCCACCAATAAAGTGTTGAATCCCTAAAGGTGGTAGCAACATAAGTCACTTTTTGTTCCTTTAACACTTACAAATCTTAAAGAAACTTTGCATTTTAGTCACCCAATTCATTAGAGCTACCGGTCCCTCAATACCTTTGAATTCCTTCGGGCGGGTGCTACTTAAATTCTTGTAAATGCAACCCCTTTCCTTGGTTTGGGGTTCTACCCTTGGTTCCACTGGTTGATCAACTTTTCATTTGTCAGACGACTCCATTTTCTCAGTGGTTTGAAAGTTAATCATTATCTTCTCTTTATGGGTGCTTGCTTCCTCTTCTACTTCGAGGGCTTTGAACCTATCACCTACCATGGCCTTTAGCATGCTTGGGAGGGTATTTTGGAGGACTCTAGTTATCTTGTCAATTAGTGCCTCCTCGGTGAAGTCATTTTCTCCTCTTTCCAATTCCTTGGTTTTGTTCTCATACCCTACGGGTGGCCGAGCTTGCATCCACAGAATAGTCATGCTTGAGCTTGCGGTGTTCCCAAGACCATGACCACGACCGCGATGACGACCATGACCACGACCTCTTCCTGTTGGTGGTGTCTGATTTCCAACTCCCTCTCTGATAGTGGCATTTCATGCAGATCCATATGATACCATATTGAATACAGTAGGGCGATATTAAAATCTAATTACTAAATACAAGAAACCATTGGGAAAAAAATAAAGAAACGAGTACCGCCATTTCAAACCATATAGCCATAAATTATTATTCATATATAAGGATTTCAAGAGAGAGACAGTCAATACATGAATTTGCTATAGTTATCAAAATTTGGGATTACTAAATCATCTTCAAAGTATCAGTTAGCAAAATTATCCCAAGCTAAGCATCAATTTAAATACTAAAAATTCTCTCTCTTTATGTCTATCAACATCCCTAAGACATCTCGAGATGGCAGGGGTCTCTGATCCATTGTGCATAGGTCAACGACGGTTTGGATTTCCATAGTGCGTTTGCTCTTGGACCGATTTTGAAATTTTGGACCCATGCAACAAAATATCCTTTCATGACCCTGACATACTCAATAGTTACCATATTGCAAAAGTTGGTCTTATCCCTTACCCGAGTGCGCCATGACCGAACGACAATTCTCCGCTCTTGAGCCAGCTTCAGTTTCAAAATATCTCTCTCTCCTTGTAGGTTATCCCTCCCTGTTATCAACCTCACTTGTGCCCGTTGTAGGTTGTCAAGCATTCCCTTAGCGCTATCATTGTCCCACTCAAGGTAGGCCAACTTACTTCACAACTCAGCTTTCTCTCTTTGCAGAGATTCTATTCTTTTTTCCAAGTTGGTGCAAATGAGAGGTTGCGCTACCATGGGTCTCTCTTGAACCAACCCCTGAGTTGGGTTACTCCTTGGAGATATCGGATTGTCGTCCCTGGGTATGCGGTTCCAATTGGGAGTCATACTAGTGTCACGGCTATCAATACTCTCACCGTGTGGGCCTAGTCCGAATGGTACCCTCCGTCATATAGTTCCGCACCCACGTCCTCTCCCACGGTTACCAGACCTAGTGTTCCTACAAAACCACAAGGAAAACACTAAGTCACACATTGATAAAATCAACTTAATTGCAACATAGATAGTGATTCTAAACCCCTCATAAGTTTAATCTTAGGCTAATATTTTTTTTACCTATTTCTCTTAACCTAATGCTCTGATACCAACTTGTAACACCCTCATTTGTAATACAAGGTGCCCCATAATAAAATATTAAAAATCCAAAATCTAATGGCTAATAAAAGCTTACTACAGCGGAAGTCTTACAATAATTTAATCGTAATCAATATCTCAAAACTAACCCGTCCAATACTGGGTTACGTTACATATAAATTCAATTAAAATACCAAGCATTTTATAAATTTTAATTTAAATAGCATAGTTCTATTTCCTACGCAAAACCTTTTCCCTTGTTCGTTCTTGAACTTCCAACTCATGGGATGCATACTAATAGTCAACTTTATAAAGCTTAATGAGTTCATGCTTTTCTTGAACAAAACATACATGTCCCATTATGCATTATACAACAAAGAAATGCTCAAATAATAGTATGCACTTTTGTTTTAAACCCCCCTTTTCAAATAATAATGAGATCTCTAAAGTTCTTGTCACGTTAAGGTCTTACAGTTATCGGTACTTCCTCGGGTAACACAACTATCCCTTGTCCAATCACTCATCCCTAGGATGTGCCATCCCTTATGACTTTTGACCCATCCTCATACCTGAAAAAAACATTAACCCATGTATAATATGTTAATTAATGATTAAAAACACATAAACAAACTAGCACGCAACCTATGATAATAATTCATATACATGCAATAGCCCATAAACATGTACATGAAGATAACATAATGCTCAAATAATTTGTACCTAAGCATCCATTCCAGTTAAAATCTCATGAAGACTCACCTTGGTTTAGTGTAGGTTTGCCCGACACTTGGTAACTCTCAATTTCCTCCAATGGCAAGACTTAAGGCTTTCAAAAGCTTTTCGGCATATGTTGCCTATAAATATTTTAAGGTCTATCAAATAGACATGAAAAGTGCCTTTTGTAAATGCAAAACTCCCAGAAGAAGTCTATATGAAACAACCTCCAGGCTTTGAAGATTCAAAGCATCTAGAGTATGTATATAAGCTTAATAAATCCTTCTATTGACTCAAACAAGCTCCTCGTGCATAGTATGATGTTCCCTAATAATCAATCTTCATAAAAGCTTCAAGGTTTCCATGGCAGATCTGAATATTTTTTTAAGAACACTTGATGTAAATTGAGAGAAAGTCAAACTTCAAAGAATGGTCAAACCTTCTATTACATAAACTGATTTAACAATTGAGCTCTTACCCTAAAATTACAAAGAATAACCCTTTATATAGGGTCAAAGATGAAAACAAAGTCAAAGTCAAACAATCTATAGAAAAGTCAAACACGATGACTTTTATACAATTATAGACAATTTTAACTTTCAAGACGAATACAATTTTACACTGAATTTCAGTCCTAACATAGTACGATACATTATCTTCATCATCTATTTAGTGCCGATAATGGTTTTATATGTAGGTTTAGGAACAAGTTTCCAGAATTTGTTACCTTAAAATTGTACAAGTTCCTATTGCATGACATTTACCCAACTTGGATCTTCTACGACATCTTCAACTTTTTTTGGTTTGAGTAGGAACATGAAGTTGACATACATGACGAAAGGGCCTTTGGCCTAGCAGTATGTGAGTCTCTGGCTTCCTAGCAGGACAAGGGTTCAAACTTCACTAAAGGTGAGGAGGGTGTGTGAGTTTTTTTTTTTCTATTTACCGTATATAATTATTATATACTTCAAAAAAAAAGTTGACATACATGCACATATTTGCAGACGATTGACTTTTGAATCTTGGATAAGGATTCCTAATAATTTTATTAATTAGATGACTTTTTCTCCATTTTAAAACAGGAAGGAGAAGAACGTGGGATGAAGGAATAATAGGTTTAGATGCAACATTTTGTAGAAGTTGGGAGAGAGGTTTCAGATGGTGGTAGAAAAACTTGTGGAGGGGTCTGAAGTATCAACTTCAATTTGAATCAAATAAATGCATGCAAATGTACTTGGTTGTTCACTAATTTGTTTTGAATCTAGAACGAGAGGATGATTGGTCTAAGTGATTTGACCGATTGTTGAAGAAACACTTGGATAGGATTATATAAGATGAGAGGAGATCCATTCATTTAATTCACCATCATTTAATATATCAGTAGAAGAGGAAGGTGTAGAGCCACATTCATCAAAGTGAAAGTGAATTGATTCATCAATACTGTGGTGACATTTGTTGTAGATATTGTAGGTTTTAGAGATCTATGCATCGAATGTCGTTTCTGCTTCTAAGACCGCCGTATCCTCTTTTTAGACCGTGGTTGTACATGGCCGAATGGATTTTTAGCCGGAACCATGGTCGACTATTTTCAAACGGTGTAGACCCCTTTGTTTATCATTTACTCTCATATTGATTAGTTTAGTTACTGTGACGGCATTAGCCCGTATCCAACTGTGACATCCCAAAAAAGGGTCAATAAATACATATGAAAAAAACGAAAATAAAATAAATTTTGTTTTTATTTTCGTGGGCCAAAATATGAAGAAAAATATGAAAAGGGTGGTCAATCATGTCATTAATGAAAGTGAGAAGTGAAAAGAAAAGAGTTTATGTTTAATCGAACTAAAATTGAAAGAAAACGTTTGATTGAGGTTGAAAAGTGTAAAGTTGGCCAAAGTATTGAAGTCGGAGGGCCAAGTGTCATTTTCTGGAAATTTAGGGGTATTGTCAGTTAGCGAATTTCTCATACATGAGGACCTGTTATGACAAAAAGACATATCTGATTATTTTCAGAATTTTGAAAATGACAACTCCTTTGAAGCTTCCTATTGATTCAAAACTTCAACTATTAAGACAACAATGATTCAGATATATGTAGCCAACACTTTCCTTTACACTTTTGCTTAAGAAGATCGGTATTTCGTCGAGTTTTGAAAGAAAAAACGGAGGTTGAAGTTCGAGTTCAAAAAACTCCGTTTATTTACGATTGGAGGTAAAATGCTTAACCAAATTTCGATTTCTTTATATGGTTAGCTTCATTTTTAGGTCCTCTATGAAACCTTAGTAGTTTTACGTCTCAGATTTTGTTTTTAGAGGCCCGATTTTGCATTTTTTTACTGATTTTCGAGTGGATTTAGAACCTGAACTTTAAATGAGTAAATGAGACTTAATACTTGATGGTTTTTGTTGATTTTTGTTTCTACGGTTGAGGAAAATAATTTTCTAGAGTTTTAGCAAAAAGAACCATCGAAAACGGTCAAAAGGACAAGGTCAACGACCTGGAAAAGGTCGCTGCCGGCGGCAGCAGTCGCGCCGAGTGATAAACCCGAACTTGGGTCGGATTTGGTGCGGTTTCGAGTCGGTGCTTGGTCCAGATTTGATATATCTTGGGTCAACTATTGTTGGGCTTTTGTTTTATTATGGGCCATCAGATTTTATTAAAGATTTATACTAAATGTTTTTCCAAATTAATTAAAAAGGCCCAATTTAATTGGTTATTCAATAGACTTCTAATTATTAAATTTGTGCCTAAGTTAATTAATTATTTTCATATTACATTAAGATACAATTATGTTAATTAATTAACTTAGATTATAAATTAATTAATATATTGATATCTAGCACAAAGACATGTAGATAACATGTATCTCGATGACTAGCAATGAAATATAACATAAAACCAATCGTTCCTCTATATTTAGTTACATCAACAATTTTTCCATTTGGATCTCAATGCAATTTTAATGGATGAACCATTGGTGTTTTCATGGGTGTACATTAATTGAAGTCAAATTTCTTTAATAGATCATTAACATATTTGTTTTGGTTTATGAAAGTTCCTTCTTTCGATTGTTTAACCTGTAAACCTAAGAAAAATGTTAGTTCACCCATCAAACTCATTTCATATTTGTTTTGCATGAGTTTTGAAAACTTCTCACATAGAGAGACATTTACTTTATTAAAATAATCCAGATTAACCCAGAAATATTATTAACTCAAAACACATGCAATCAAAAGCCTATTTGGTTATAAACCATTTTCCTCCTCTTCATAGCAACATTATTATCATATCACTAAGAGCAATAATTTCGAGTCCTCATATCACACATAAGTGATAACTCAAGATCATTGCATCTCATGGATGTAATAACAAAATGTATGATCAAAACTCAGATTGCACGATTGCCACCCTTATTCAAAGGTACACCTCTACTTGATATCTCACATTTATTTCCTCATAAAAATATAACCGAATCTATCGTTTTTTCCAAGAATGGCATCAAAACAGTTTCATCACAAAAACTTCATATTAAGAACTTTTACAGTTCTAAACCCGGTTTCGTTATCAACTCATAATAGCTTCAAGAACAGTTTGCCTTTTTTCCTCATAAAATCAAACATATCAAATATTTCAAATACCAAATATAGGAAGTTGATAACATAAACTCACCTTACATGCACGTATTCGAAGATGAATCTTACAACATTGATTTCAAAATATAATCACATAATCAACTTTAACAACTTCACGTAGTATTTTACATAAGAATTACACACATTAAGTCTTCTCTCTTTTCCTTTCTTTTCAAGATAGATTGGATAAGATAAATCTATCTTGTCACTTTTATATGTTATCAAAACACAGGTCGTGGAGGTTAATAATTTTGTAATCCACAATTAACACACAACCTCATATAATAAATTACACATATAATCATAGGCGGTGGAACTAAAATGAATAAATAATCACATATAAACAACTTAAAGTTCTTTACTTACCAATGCTTTTCAAAAACCATCCCAAATTCTATAACCGAAAAAACCCAATTATCACACATTTTGAAGAATCGGCTCGCCAAGAGTGATATTGTCAGACTAGTTTAAACTTTAAATGATCTTCAATCAGCTAGATGACAATCCAAACCGCTTTGG